TTTAATCAAACACATTTTAGTGTAGCTGTGTCAGTGACAGCATTGTCCCTTAATGCATTTTACCTACTATTACAGTTACTATGATAGCACTAAAATATATTCCATTATGGTATTCTACAAATTTACATACATACAGTGTATATACTAGTAGACATTCTCAATGTTTGTAAATACCCGTGTTGTCAATATCCCAATCTAAGGAGCACCCCTTTTTTTTGCAAAAAAATTCAAAATTCATATTAACAAGACTTAGTATTTTATACTATACTTACACTCTACATTCGGTGTGTATGTAGCATTCGGACTAGTGGAAGGTTTGTTTACAGTGTAATAATTAGAGACCTCACAGTGATATGTCAACCCATTATCTCTGTCTGTCAGAGGTCCTATAGTTATAACACTTTTGCCAGCAGATTCTGTGTCTGTGATATCGTTGTTACTTGAATTCCACCAGCGGTAGTTTGGTGCAGGATTCCCCTTATCACTGGCCTCACAAGTTAACGTGGGTGAACTGCCAGCAAGGAGAGGTGCCACAGGGTTTGATGTTATACCCACGTTACTGGGAGGATCTGGAATGATACGATACATAGGCAAATAACAAACATCATAATTATAAATGTACAATCCTATATATCTAGACTTTTACCTTTCATCCAATTGGTCAACAAAACATTATATACATGTAGCTAGGCAAAATGTGCATGTTCCTAAACATATATGCGAGTGGCCAGCATGCTTTTTAAGCCTGCAACATGTATACAATACTAATTAACATACAGCACTTATGAATTTGTAAGGATCTGGAACGATTTGCTTACTTATATGTACGACATGCAAATATCCAATATCAAGATTACAAGTTCTATAACATATCAACTTTGTCATTTCACACAGATGGATACAATGTAACAAACTCTTGCATTGTAAGGTGCAGATGTTTCAAAACATTTGAAATCATTATCACTGATAAGAAACCTATATTTCAAATAAAAAGTATATAAACATCATTACGTGTAGAAAAAATTCAAGTTGTTGCACAATAAAGACGCTCATCAATGGTAAAGATTATTTATACACTATCTTTGTAGGCAAATGAATTGAAAGCTAGAACTTACATGCCACATTCAGTTGAATAGCTGCAGAAGGTCTATTTGTGTTAACATCATTGTAGCCCTCACATGTATATATCCTATGGTTACTGGATCTGGTAGCATCTATAGGGAGCACATATGGAGAAGGTTTGGCTGTGACATCTGTCCATTTCACCATTCCTGTTGGATTTCCACCAACTGTCTGACACTGACAGTATACAGTAGCGCCCTCTAGGTGAAGTGTGGAATTGGTGCAGTTTAGGGACACTGATTCAACTGGCCCTGCATGAGATTATATGGTTAGTTCTCATTAATGATAATATATAAAAGGTAAATATCAAAGCGATGAGCCTGGACATTTGTCACAGTTACATATAATTCTATTGAAAATATATTTGAAACTGAATATTTTACCTGTTATACAATGTGTGTCTGTTCTTACCTTAAATAACAATTATGTACAGTGGTATATTCAGTTTGATTTCATTCATTTTACTTTATACAACAACATAGTAAACCTTTTTAAAAGAAGCACAAAATACTCCTATTCAGAGTCACAAGGCTTTATACTTACAAATTATGTCCACATTCACAGAGACTACTGCAGGAGTTGACCCAGAAGCACTATTACTGGCCTTACAGGTGACAGTCTTTGAACCCTGGGTCTTTTGGAACATGTGCTTCAGTGTACTTGTAGTTGTAATAAGCTGTGGTGTGGTGGCATCCCTTGGTGAATTACTGTGTGTGACACCAGATGTAACTGCAGTGCCATCTACCTCCCAGGTAACAGTTGCCACTGGATATGCCTTGGTCTCACACAGAAATGTGGTGTCCTGCTGAGCTGTCACCTTGGTATCTGCTGTGAAATTGAGGAGACGAGTTCCCTGTGGAGCAGCTGGAATTAACGAAATAACATATCTATTACCAAAACGTAATTTTTGCCAACCCTAAGGATCAAGAAGAAAGGGCATTTAATGCTGATTGTTGAATATAATTGTTACTCCAAATTGTCTTTAGAGAAATATTTGCCAAAACATCTATGTTAAATGCATACACTAGTAATTATCCCATAGATATTTTCCCATTCTTTTTTCTATTTCTATAATTATTCTCAACTTTTCCATGCCATATTGAGGTATTCAAAAACAGCCACGTGAAATGAAATATTTCACAACATCATGAAACTACGCTTCATTCCAAAGGGCATGTTATGATCAGCACGCCTTTGATATTTCCAATGACACTTACCGATCACTGTAACAGTGACCTTGTCACTACCCATGCCACTGTGACCACATGCATATCTCCCAGCATCTGAGAACTGCACATTGGATATAACAAGTGTAAAGTTGTGGTGGGTCTGATCACATGGGTTAACACTGTACTTGGTTGAATCAACAGTAACACAATCTTGTGTCAGTAAGGTAGGAGTATCAACAGGCCCTCTGGTCCACTCTGTAGAAAGCCCAGAAGTCACTGTATTCACTTTACACCACAGGGAAACTGATTTCCCCAGTGAGGCACTGACAGCTGTGGAAGACCCAACATCTATATCAGCACCTATGCAAATGAAAAAGTTAAATTAAAGTTAAACAAGTTAAATTCGCAGTATTTGAGAAGTGTGTGTTTACTAATCGCAAAGTGTTCAAATACTCATGGAGAAATTACGAACAACAACAACGAGTAAAAAAAGAACTCAGAAAAGGAAAATTAAGCTATTGCTAGGTTGAATCGATTTCTTTACAAGGTTATACGAGTATTTTAACTTTAAATAGCTAAATAATAATAATACAAAAACGCAATACCTGCCACAATATGTAAGTAAACACTTGCTAATCCAACGATGACTCTAGCTATAGGAGCCTTTTCCATCCAACCCATATGTGTGCCGTAAATATATCACTGCAATGACACAAAATACCTACGTCTCTGATATACATCATATAAACATGTGGGTCATTCCATATCAACTCATCCAACGAGGGTACCCTCCGTCAAGAAAGTTGCTGATTTTCACATATTTTGTAGATATTATAGGGACTAGAAAAAACCTAACATTTTAGATTGAGATCTCCACTGGTTTCAGAGTTATGACACTCCAAAGTTGGACCCAGCTGAGGGCTTGCTGTGCCTCACTTGAATGTAGGTCATGGTGAACTAGTTAAGAAAAACACTATAACAATAGTTCTTCATATTCCATTGCTTTGCAGCTTTCATGACTTTATATTTTCACATTTAAGGAAACCAACTATCACACTGAAAATGGTCTGGCATATTTAAAATGCACTTAATTTTTATTTTGAAAAATCCTTGTCATTTTTTCAAAATGACAGACACCCCACCCTTTTAATCTAATTTTTCTCAATGTCTCCAAATGGACAGGTGTTTTTGCTTTATCTCATATTAAAGAGGAGGCTTTGAACTTAAAAGTGAAAGTGTTAAATCAATTTGTATATTTTGGAGACAAAAGTAATAAAACATTATAAGAAAATGTGTGATATGGGTTATTGCATGGTCACTGATCCAGAACAATGTACTATCAAACACCCAAATTTTGAAATATCTTCATTAGTTTACCTGTTATCTTTCAGAAATTTCCTTTGATGTTGTTATACTGTAAAATTGTTTTTGGTGTGAATGAAATTGTTTTATACAGTTCTTAAATTATTGATATCTCACCAATAGACCAGTTTTCATGTTTCAGTGCCTACTACTTGTCTTCTCAGGTCATTTAAAAGATATTTACGACCTATATAAAAAAACATATCATACATATGCCCAAACAAGTATTGTTTTATTATAAAGTACATGTTTTCTTTTCTTTTTTTTTTTTTTGTAGGTCAGAAAAGTTACATGTTTATCATCCAAACCCAATCTAAAGGTGCAAATAATGCCAGAGGCATGCTCTCAACTCTGAAACCAGTTGAGATCTCAATCTAAAATTTTAGTTTTTTTCTAGTCCCTATAATATCTACAAAATATGTGAAAATCAGCAACTTTCTTGACGGAGAGTACCCTCGCTGGATGAGTTGATATGGAATGACCCATGTATTAATTTCAACATATATTAAAATACCAAACAATAAGACCCCTTCCACAAGTTTTTTTATGGGAGAAACCAAAATTCGGTATAAGGTGTACCGTTAATGGTGCATTTTACTACACTCACGGTGAGGTGTTTCCTGTCGTCGTCTCACATATGGACCAGTGTTAAGGTCAGTATTTTATATCGCAATCCACATGAGTCTCAGCCCGGTTCACATTAGCCACAGGGTCACTTTTGGTCCTGATACAGACTGGGTGTTTACCTTCTCGCCTCCATGGGGAAGAAAATTAAAGCACAGCTTTTTTTAAACAGATTTATTTCTACAATAAAGATATACAAAATAAATAAATTCCAAGCAGGCGGCACGTCGAGACAGCATAATGTGCTCGCCTGCGTTAATATAATTCACAGTAACTATAAAAGTAATAATAATAATTGTGATAACACTAATTAGTACTTATATTATCTTAACTGAGAGCACAGCTGCTGTATGTAACGCTGAAAGCTATCAAACGAACAATATCTTTCACTGTCAAAACTGAAATTTGACCCCAAATTCAACCCTAAAGTGGGAGACAACCGGCACTGGTATGTTCCCGGAAGGCGGACAATGTGACAACAAGGCTGCCCTATCGGTAAAGCAAATTCGGACCGGCTATACCGTTGTGCATTGTAATGAAACTACTTTAAATCAAAGATCTATAACGTTGTGCAAAAACTGGAATGTGAAACATATTTGACAGCATGTGTGTATAATCGTATTGTAGCTCATGCTCTTGCCAAGTTGTCACAGGTCCTTCAGCATCCCACACTGACCCAAATAGCGCAACCGGTCTTGATAACAATTCAATTCAACCAAAGTGTGTTTTGTAATCTGCACTATTTTTATCAACAAATGAAATTACGCATTGCGTCTCTGGGTGTGCATGGATGATAATTTGAATGTATGTCTATGTGCGTAAATGAATGGGTCAGAAACATGTTGGTATTGTATACATCAAACACTTCTGTATGCATGAGTCTACTATATATATATATATATATATATATATATATATATATATATATATATATATATATATATATATATATATGCACTTCCACGATATACTGGTTAACAGCAACGGGTAATCATCTTTGAAAGTCTGTCAAAATATCCCTATGTGTTGGCTTACAATGGGGTGTTTTCATGTGAAAGGGGATGAATTTGTCTTATTATTACAAATAATCTTTTAAACTTTTTAATTCTTAGCCGAAAATGACACTAAAACAGCGCTTTAATCTGGGACACAGACATACAAGTCTGTTTTGCACCTGTACCTTATGGAAGAAAACTCTCAGAATAGTGTTTCCATGTTTTGTGGTCATCTCAGGAATCATTTACGGCAGACACACTAGAGAAAAAACAAAATTGCCCTTCGACGCAAATTTTGATGCGTGAAGGAAACGTGTTGTTGTGCGTTCCCATCGGTTTCAGCTTCAGCACAAAGAGATATCTCCCATAAACGTAGAACTATACAAATCTTTCAATTTCGGGATTTAAATACCTGAAATACACTTCGCTTTTCATAAAACAACAATATGTAAATAAATCCTGTCATCAAAGATGTTGTGACCCAATTCTGTCTTATTTCCTTCAGAAGCGCACGACAGCAAAACCACAGCTAGGGTGTACCGTACTC